GAGAATCTTCGGCGAAGCATATTCCGTGTCAAGTGGAAATCGAACATCGACGCTACTCGGTTGAACACTAGCTGCAAGCCGTAAATAGCGCTCCCTATGCTATAATTAGTTCGAAGAAGTGGAAGTCTCAGCATAAGACTGTTGCGTAGTGATCGAGGTTGAACATTAATGTTCACTTGTTGCAGAATTGCTTCGCAGTCAATTCTTCCTTGCAGAGTATCGGCGACGGTTAAGGCTCTGAAAACATCTCTTCGGATACGTAAGGGCTCGATATTGATCAATTGGCAGCGATTCTCGTAGCTTGGAAGACGAAGTGGGTATCTCCAAGGCAGCTTACGGAGCGCGAAGCGAAGAAAACATCGTTGAACAGATTCAATTCGCTCGGCCCCATTATTGTAGTTCGGGCTCCAGACAGCAGAGCAGTATTCCAACGTAGATCGTACGAGAGAGCAATAGAGCGATTTCAAGCAGTAAATGTCCGTGAAGTTCTTAGTAATCTTGAAGACAAAGCCAAGCGTTCTGGACGCTTTGTCGACGACATACGATATATGGTGTGAGTATGTCAGCTTTGAGTCTAGAAAAACGCCTAAGTCTTTCACGCAGTGCACCCGTTCGATAGTCGTGCCTAGTAGTTTGTAGTTGAAAATAATCGGTTGTTTCTTGCGTGAGAAAGTAATAACTGTACACTTAGCTGGGTTGACCACCAGTCGGTTTAGACTTCACCAGTCAGCAAAGATGTCAATCTGATTTTGGAGAGAACGGCAGTCGGCGAGTGAGCTGATGCGCAGAAAAACTTTCAGATCGTCTGCAAACGATAATCGTGGCTCTGTGATAACATGGTGAACGTCGTCGAAGTAGAGGAGAAATACCAATGGTCCCAGATGGCTGCCCTGAGGTATACCGGACTTTGCGCAGAAGCTTGCTGAGCGACAAGTACCCAAAGTTACTGTCAATTGGCGCTCCGTGAGGTATGAACGAAACCATCTCAAAAGATTTCCACCGATCCCTAGTCTATCAAGCTTAGCGATCGCAATTTCGTGGTTCAGCTTATCGAAGGCTGCCGTAAGATCTGTGTAGATAACGTCCGTTTGGGTCCGAGCAATCAAACTGTCTGTGATGTAAGACGTTAGGCACAGCAGGTTCGTAGTTGTGGAACGCCCAGTTATGAATCCGTGTTGATCTGTACTTAGATATTGCCTGCAATGCGCATTTAGGGACTCTATGACAACCAATTCAAAAAGTTTTGATACAGCACTCAGCGATGTGATTCCTCGGTAGTTGTTTACGTCGCGTTTGCTTCCCTTTTTATGAACAGGAAACATATCCGCAGTCTTCCAGCAAGACGGAAAGATGCCGCTGGAAAGAGAGAGCTGGAATATGCGGCGCAGTGGATCTAAAAGACAAGTGATGTTCTTTTTAAGAATAATCGACGGAACACCATCGGGTCCAGCCTTAGTTGAAGTCTTAAGTTTAGATGCTGCTCTAGAAATCGTATCTGTAGTGGCTTCGACCATGCTGAGCGTTTGGTTGATCAAAGGAACATTACTGGCCGCGGAAGTAATGATATTAGCGGAGAGTTGCTCGGCTACAAACACACTAGCAAATTTGGCTGAGAACAGGTTGCAAATGTCTTGTTGATTTCCAGCAGTTTCACCATTAAAAATCATGGAAGAGGGTAAGCCGACTTCCCTGCGTTGCTCATTTACGAAGTTCCAGAAGGATTTCGGGTGTGATTTTAGCCGCCGTTGAATCCTCCTTTGATAGCGTTGAAAACAGAGACGACTTAACCGCTTATACTCGTGGTTGAGTCTGACATAGTAGCATTTCAGTGGCAGTGTGCGGAGTTTAGTAAATCTTCTGAGAGCAGCCTTCTTAGTTCTTTTCAACGAGCGAAGATCTTTCGTCATCCACGGGACGCGAGAGTCGATATGGATGATCTTTTTGGAAACGTGTCTGTCAATGACATATGCCAAGACGTGAGAAAAGGTAATATCAATTGAAGAATTAGCAAGAACTACTAACTCCTGTTCATATTCCAAATACGGTGTAGGTACCTACGCGAATCTCTTTATTCACTACCGCTGCTGCCCCTAATAAATCAAGCCAGTTTGGGTGAGCCTTGAAGCTCGCCTTTGGAACCCTTATCGTTATGGTGTATAATTTAAATATTGCTAATTGCACCTGAAGCTGGACTGCCCCAAAAATTAAAAAAATTGCGATAAAAGTGCACGTGTCCGTCAAATCGTTTTAGTATTTTCGGCGTACTTATTGCTTGCATAATAAGGAATAACTGTACCGAACACACCAAGACGATTAGACGGAAACTCGCAATTTTATCACACTTTTTAATAGTTTCCACACAGACAAACAGACATAACACTCACAATTCGTTCATCGAACATGCATTTAACGGACAATTTAAAAGTATAGTAGTTGGTAGCACCGCCACCTGTGGCGCTCATAGTCGATTCCCTTGCGTTTGACGTTTACACACTACCGCCATCTGTTTTGCGTAGTGCCCACCACAGTGTACTCAACAGATGGCGGTAATGTTTTAGTGACGATGTTTTACAGTCAGAAATATTCAATGTGTTATGTCTGTTTGTCTGTGGTTTCCAGTTTGGTGTGAAATGCGAACTATGCTAGCTTGGAATGTTTTCAACCTCTCTGTGCTAATCTAAGAGTCCTTAACTAACTATTATCGGTACAGCTCAAAACCGGAATAACCCACTAGCGACAATCGAATTTACTCTCGTTTTATTCATTATACATAGTATCGGAAGTTATGGCACATCATTATGCGATTACAGTGCACTACTTCCGACACTTTGTATAAAGTACAAAACTAGTGTAAAATCGAGTGTACCGATAATATTGTAAATTTTCTTCACCGTCGTCTGTTACCTAACAAAACAAACACGCCGGTTCCAAATCCTCAATAATATTAATACCGCATAACCGACTCCCACTCCCACTCCCAGGATCCACAAATTAGATACGCTAACCAGCAGTATCGCCACCAAGATGCACCAGTATCGGTTATTAGTTCTACCTGTCAGCGCATTCCACCCTGGATAGCTACTGCACTGGGAGGCCAACTCGATGAAAACAGCCTCTTCCTCTTAATACTTACCTTTTCTAACTCCGGTTACTGTGCCATACAATCCTCCGGTCCACTCCGCGATTTTCACGGTAGTCCTCATAGGAAAAAAATACAGCCGTACCTGTTCTCCGGGCGCTCGATCTTGATTATCGGTCCAGAGTCTAAAAAAGTCGCAAAGTGAAAGCTTGAAATTTTCACTATTCAATAAATCTAGACCAACAATTTAAATAGGAGGAACAACCAAACGTAAACAATGACTTTAAACACAAATTTCTCGAGAATCAAAACACACGCACACAAACTAACAATTCTATTCAATGAAGGAAGTTTTCTCTTTCAGATGCTGGAATTAGATTATGTGGATGTGTTTTGATTCTCGGGAAATTTGCGTTTAAAGCCATTGTTTAAGTTTGGTTGTTCCGCCTATTTCAATTGTTGGTCTAGAAATGCTCGTTTGTTTACACTCTGCGATTGGAGCACGAAGTTTGACACTTGATGCTGTAGCAGAGTGTAAGCGAACAAGCATACAATTTTTATGCTTGTTCGCTTACTCTGCTAGAACCCGAGCGTCAAGTGTCAAACTTCGTGCTCGGATGGCAGAGTGTAAATAAACGAGCATAAATTCCACCACAGAGGTGGTCTAACGTCGTCTAACCAGCCATACAAAAAAAATGTCTAACGTTAGTCTCACGTTAGACTAACATGTTAGATCGAAACGAGCTGTAACGTCTAACAGACTGTGTCATATCAGTCTAATATTAGACGAACATTAGACTAACGTTAGACCAAATGTTAGTCTAATGGTCTAACGTGTTAGACTAACGTTAGACTCATGTTAGACTAACCTTCCGTGCTGGGAAGTAACATTGATCGATTCTCTTGGTTGACTAGAGATGAACTAGCCTAAGGCTAAAAATCTCTTTAATAAAGATTAAACAAATCTCTTGGTCGACTTTCTCTTTCGTTCATAACTTGAGCACATAACCGTTTGTTGTTGTGTTTGTCATATTAGATGCTAGATAAAAGCTTCTGGTATCGATCTGTGTGCTGAAAATACCTGGGAATGTCTTTAAATGCCCGTGTTGTTACAAAGAGAAAGTCGACGAAGAGAATCTGTCAATGTGTTACGATGGACCTAATGCAATGTTCAGCTTGAATTGTCACCTCACCGGCAACAGAGAGTCAGGTAACTCGCAGCATAGGGGAATGTCAGGTAACGAGTTCAAAGACGATTCTTCTGTGGAAACATGTATAGAAAGTACTATCTAATTTAACAAAAATATAAACGATGTTTCGAAGTGTTAAAATTGAAGTACTAGGACAAATCTAGCGTTCAGAATCATAAGGGCCTAACTGCGATGATCGATTCTCTTAATCGATTATCTCTTTTGTTAATAGCTCATCTGCATTAAAATTTCTCGGTGAGTTTGATGTGGCTGTTGCTAGTTATTACAACCTTCTATGTATTAGACTGCATTAGAATAATTTTGGAAAATTGGTTCACTTGACTGTGGAAAAGCAAAGAGAAAATCGATGAAGATAATTGATCATCGCAGTTTGGCCAACCGGTGGAAACTAAAGATTTTAAATTGGCTCACTACTTGACTAGCCTATTGGTTCCAAGCAAATCGATTAACGTACCTCATTCTTGTCGAAATTCTAGTACAAAACTATGTTTGTTTTGATTCGCTATGAAAGTTTGACAGATAAAATGAGAGGTTCGTGGATTTTCCTATGTTTCGAGGGGTGCATCGATTAGCTTGGGACCGAAGATAGTACCAGAGCTGAGCCAAAAAGTTGAGAACGTTTCTTCGGGACCTTCTAGTCTTAGAGTTACCTCTATGGTTAGGCCATTATGCCCTTATGATTCTAAACGCTAGAAATACTCGAGAAATACTATTCATAGATGAAAATCAGTGTCTTTATTTGCTCTTCGACGAATGATTCACTAAGTCTAATTGTTCCGTTGAATGAATAAAATTTCATAGGTACCTTATTTCTATCTAGCATTATTCTGTTTGGTTCGAATGAATATCTCCTAAGAATCTCACAAAAGTTTATTCAAATAAATTCTTTTGCATTACACCGGTAGCATTTTACAATCCACCATCTGCTTATTGCTATCGTTAACCTATTCTAAATAAAAACATCCACCTTGCGATGGATCAGCGTCCTGCAGATGGGACAGTATCGATCGTAATGGCCCAACTGGTCCGCGCATCGCTTGCACAGGCACATATGTCCACACGGTACCAGCACCACGGCCTTTTCGTTATCCTCACAAATGATGCATAGTCCGATAATGGTAGAACCTTCCGAACGCTTCTTGCTGGGACTACCGTTATTACTATTACTACTATTTTGAGCAATTGGTCGTAGAGATCTACTCTGGGTCGATTGGTCCGATGAAGCCGACGATGAACGGGAGGATTGCTCCGAATCCGAATGGTCTCGTCGGTTTTCAATACGACTCAGGTGTTGTTGTTGCTGCTGACGTTGCCGCCGATCGGAGAAAGTGAAAAAGTTCCGGAAAAATAATGCAGTGCGATGAACTTCCGTGTCGTAGATGGTGATGGCGCGCGTTCGCAAGTAAACGGAGCCAGCCAGCACGGTCACAAGAATGTTATCAATTATTTGTGCGATCAGTTGCTTACACTGGAGGTATTTACGGCGGATTCCCCGTCCGTACGGCAGCATTTTTCGGTAGAAGTAGCGCAGGATTCTAAAGCAAAAAATTGCAATTCTCTTGCTGCATTTAGGATTTATATAAGCCAGTATGAGTATAAAAATTCCAGCAACTGATTGCAGGGGAACGTCTTTTACCAAGTAGTATCCCAGACGGGACACAATCTCCATACTCTTGGCTCCAACATCCTTGGAAAAGTGGCCAACGACCTCCAATCCAGTGTCCAAGTATTCCCAAAAGTTCTTAGCAAGATGTCCTGGCAGTGTAACCAAAAACCAAACTCCATTCCCGACGATCACCAGTAGCTGTTTGACAAACTCCAACGTAAAAATCGGAACCGTCAGTAGCCTTCCGGAGAGTAGCTCCCCTACGCCGTGGTACCCCGCCACAGCGGCATTTCCGATCGAAACCACTGCTTTTACCACACCTCCGCAGATGGCCGTTAGACACTCAATGAAGAAAATAGCAATCGAGCTCAGCGCATTCTTGAAGTCCTCCACAAAGTACGAGTAGTCTTCGTAGAACACCACCATGAAACGGCCAATCGCTTGCAGTATCTTCCACGAGATGAAAGCTGCATTGCTAATGACTTCCACCAGCAATTTCCCGATGAAGATACTGATTTTGAGCAGATAGTTGATCAACTGGAACACATTTACGACGAAGTCGGCGATTTCTGCAAGGGCCATACTTGTTTCTTGTTGCTTTCTTCCACCACCGTCTCCGTCGTTATCAGGTAGGCAACGTCGCACTCGCGCGGATTCGTAGATTTCACATTGCAAAACTCAAATTCAGCTAAAGGATTATCGGTTTTCGATTCGAATATCTATAGGTAATTTTACATGCAATCAGCAAAACTTCGTTACAAAAATATAATTTTATGCGAAAGCCGTTATGTTTTGTTTATCTGATTTTGACACTTCTGTCGGTTGAGTGTACGGTGTAATTTGAACATGGTGGGTTCACATACTCTTATTTATCATGAAATTAAACAAATCGACAGTGAGCATGCATAAGGGCGAATACGCGATGATCGATTCTCTTCATCGATTTTCTCTTTGCATTGCTACAACCTCGGCTACAGCTAAGCGAAACAATTTTCTAGAATTTGTTCAATGCAGAGTAGTAAAAGGTTTTATTGGCTATCAAAAACAAAAGCAAACGCACCGAGAAACGTTAAATCCAGCAAGTTATTAACAAAAGAGAAAATCGACGAAGAGAATCGATCATCGCGTATCCAGCTTTCCATGCTCGGTAATGGCGGCCTGTTGGTTTGAATAAATGTATCCTTCACTGTGCGTTTTGACGCTATCTGGATGTTCGGATTTTGACCCCTCCCTTTCCCTATCCCAGGAACAGAAGAAAATGGAACAACACACGCCCTCCAGTTAGTGTCAAAAAGCACAGTGAAGGATACATTTATTCATATAAACAGACTGCCATTACCGAGCATGGAAAGCTGGATAGGCCCTTATGCATACTCACTGTCGAAATGTCGTTCACTATCAAGGCCTCGATCAAGGCCCAAATGCAATGTGGGCGGAAGCGGAACAAAAACGGCGAGTTTGACAGTTGTCACAAATGACATCAAGATGCCTAACCGAAATCGATTTGGCTCTAACTAGTTTTCAATCTGACAAGTAGGCTTACCCGAGGGCTTATCCTAATAAACAAATACCATAGACGAACAATAACCCAAATAGTCGAACTTTTCCACAAATGGTTTTGATGATACCCTAAATACGTCAAGGGCCATCCACATTAGATCCGGAACTGACACGTTGCGGCAAATTGATAGCTGAATCTGATGTCTAACTGCGCAAATCTAAGAATATTTAAATTGGGTTCATTAATTTTGAAAAATATTTCGATTACTATACGTCATCATCTGAAAGGGCTTCGATTTCTGAGCAGAACGATATTTTTTCGAACCCATTTACTTACATCTCGATTATTTAATCAAGATTTAAAGCAAAATGACCATAACAATTTCATCCAGTATTATGAAAATATTGATGATTACTAGGAGCAGATCACTTGTGGTGCATTTATTATAACAAAAAAAAATGCATTTTGACCAGAAACAAAAAAATTAATTGCATTTTCTCAGTGCATTTTTTGTAGCGTGATGCTCTAAGTGACAGTTCCTACCAAAACATGTTGTTGTTCACATCGGTTCGCTCAAATCCACACTCCTGACTCGAGAAATAAAATTCTGAAGCTCCTCGACCGAGAATGCGGAAAAAGCCGTCGAAATTCACTGTAACCAATGGGAGCATCGGACGCAATAAACTCTGATGAAATCCACTGGAACCTCCGTTGACAGCACCGAAAATCTCCATCAAAATCGCACGGAACTCTATCCGACGTGAACATTTGAAAACACTGTCGAATCTCCCCGGAACATCCGTAACATACAAAATATCCACCGAAATCATGCTATGGTATTCTTTCCACCGTGAGCACGCATAAACTTACTAGAAACTCCCTGCAACCTCCTCCGGTAGCAACGAAAATCTCAAACGAAATCGTGCAGAAGCTGCCTCCGGAACTTCCAGTGTCAACATCGAAAACCTCCTCCGAAATCGTGCTAAGCCCGCTTCACCGAGAACGGGAGAAAACCCCGTCAAAATTCCGTTGAACCTTCGTTGGCAGCATAGCAAATCTTCACCAAAATCTTGTGGATGCTCCTTCACCGAAAACACGAAAAAATTACTTAGAATGTTCCTGGAACATCCGTTGTTAGCACCGACAATATCCACCGAAATCGTACTTCTCGACCGTGCACACCAGAAAACTGCATCGAAACTGCCTGGAACCTTCACTGACAAAATCGGAAACCTCCACCGAAATCGTGCAGATCCTCCTCCGCTGAGAAAACTCCGTCGAAATTATTTGGAATCTCCGCTGGAAGCATCAGAAATCGACACCGAAACCGTGTGGAACCTCGTCCGCCATGAACGCAAGAGAATGCCATCGAAATTTTGTATTTTCGCATTTGTAATCTTGATGTAATGGATCAATGAAAAAGCAGAGGTTTTGACAGAACTGTGCTGTGGCTATCACAGTATTTTACATTTGATCGTTCATATACAGTAGCACCAAAAGCATGTTGTTGAGGGTTCAAAACTTGACCATCTAAAATGATCAATTGTAATTGTTATTTATTTAGTCAAAAGTTATTCGTAAATTACGTAATTTAGTCAAACGACGAACAAGAAAAACTTTCCTAGAATCTGCGTTTGCAGCATCTAGAACCGTCTCCAAAAGAAATCATGCAGAACCTCCTCCACCGAGAACGAAAGAAAATCCCGTTGGCAGTATCCAAACTCTTCACTGGCCGAAGCTCCTCCGACGACAATTCGTGGAAACACCGTCGAAACTCCCTGGGAACCTCCGTTGGCAGCGCAGCATATAAATTCTCTAGTTCACCGAAATCGTGTGGATATAGACGATTTTTCTTTTCATGTTTTGTTTGTATATTTTGCTTTGTTTTGACGTTAACATCCCACTGAATGGTTGATGTAAACGATGGAAATTAAATGCATTTTTTTTTAAATTAAATACATCGTGAATAAGCATTTTAAAAGTGAGACGCCCGATGATTGGCTACCATTTGCATTGAAAACTCAGTTTTGTCAAAAACGGCCATGTGACCGACATGCGAAGAGCGGCAGTAAACGACGATGGATCATTTTAGATGGCTGAGTTTTGAACCCGCCACAGCTTGCATTTGGCGCTACTGTATACGGACGATCCAATGTAAAATACTGTGGTAGCCACAGTACGGTGCTGTCAAAACCTCAGCATCTTCAATGATCCATTGAGGAAAAAGAGTTACGTCTCTTTGAATGTGGTGAAATCGAATGAATGAATAAAATAATTATTAAATTTTGGATTTCGGTTCCATTTTCAATGCAGATTACGAATATGCAATAGCCCCAATACCCCTAATTGCTGGAAGTATCAGCAGCATTATGTTGCAGGAAAGTTTGCTGATGTTTCATGAAGCCTAAAATCAGCGAAATTTTGCTGACTTTCAGCGATTTAAATTTGGTATATATATTTGAATCGCCCGTGACTCAAAAATTGCGGCAACATCGCGAGCGGTGTAATCGACTGAACCCTTGCTTAACCTGCTTATCAGTAACTGTCATTATCATTAGAAAAACAAAAACAAAAATAACTACAGTCGTATTTTTATGATTTTTATCGAACTCTGCTGTGATTATTTTGCTATCAGACTAAATTGTTTTCAAGCCGTGCATTCCTGTGAATTTCCGGTTATTTTGGTGTAAAAATGTTTCAATAATCTAGTGAAGTCACTGCAATGTTATCTTTATTCACCGAAGCTCCTCGCTTCCTGGTTCCTGGTGGCGGCATAGGCCCTTCGAGCGTTGGTGGATCAAATGCCGCTGGAATGGATTCCGTGTGCTGTCCGTCGCGACGCAGCGCTTGGGTCCGTGAGTATCGTGATCTGCAGGCAAATGTTATGTCCGTCGATTGGACAGGGTCCTGGATCTTGCTGGCTGGACGGCGTCAGCTGGCATTGCAATCGATAAAAGATTACGAAATGCACGATTCTCCGGTGATGTTGAGTAGAGACGATGGCAATGGAGGCAGTCCCGGGGGACTGAGTAAATTTCCTCGGCCGTGGAAATATGAAGTTTCGGCAGCTGAATGGGCTATCTGCAAGGAAAGCCAGGAGTACTGCGCTATCGCAACGAGTCAGACAATTGAGGTGCTGACATGGGAATCGGGACAGCCAACAATTAAGCATTCTCTGAGGGCACATACCCGGATGATAACGGACATTGATTGGCACTCGAAGATACCGCATCTGCTGGCGAGTTGCTCGATTGATACGTTCACGCATTTGTGGGATTTGCGGGATCCGAGGAAGCCGGTGCTGTCGTTGAATGCGGTTTGCATGTCCGGGGCAAGTCAGGTCGGATTCAATAGGGTATCGGGAAATTTGGTTGCGACTGCGCATGATGGTGATTTGAGGATTTGGGACCAGCGAAAAGGGTCGTGTCCGATTCAGTACATAACGGCCCATTTGTCTAGGATTCATGGTATCAATTGGAGTCACGATCACGAAACTAGTCTGTCGACGGCTAGTCAGGATGGGACCGTAAAATATTTTGATATAAATAATCCGAGAAGGGCTGAGAAAATTATTACGACGTCTTGTCCGGTTTGGAGAGCCCGCTACACGCCATTCGCGGACGGATTGGTGACGATTAGCGTTCCGCATCAGGGAAGAGGTGAGCACAGTTTGTTGATGTGGAACAACTCTAGACAGGACGCTCCCATCTGTTCGCTAACCGGTCATACGGATGTTGTGCTGGATTTTGCTTGGAGACGAACGAGCTTGGATGGAACGGATCCAGAACTGATCACGTGGTCACGGGATCAAACTATGCGCATTTGGAGAGTAGATGAAGAAATTCGAAAACTCTGCGAACGCTACCCAATGGAGGAGGACGATGGGCTGATCATTGAGGAGGGTGGAAGTCTATCGCGAGTCAATTCGGGAAATAATTTGAAAAGCCCCACACGAGAGAAGCAACCTTCCGTTTCATTGCAACATGAGTTTTCTCTGCTCAATCCAAATATTCCGCACATTGACATCGAAGTCCTGGATCCAGTGAAAAGAACTGCAACGGTGCGAATTTCCGTCAACGGGTATGTCATCATGCTTCAAATAAACTTTCCACCGCAATACCCGAACAATGGTTTCGGTCCGGAATTCACCTACTGCCAGGGAACTTCCATAGACGATAGTCTTTCGGTGACTCTTATGAGGGTCCTCCGTGCGACTGCTAGTCAGCGTGTGAAAAAGGGACGACCCTGTCTCGAGCAATGCCTTCGGGCGTTGGTGACTCAGCTGAAGAAATCCTCCAGCAATGGAGACAAACATCTGCGGTTGCAATCACCTCGGTTGGAAGGCGCCCTGAGCAGTGCCCTGCACGATGCCTGCATTCCCTTTCCGAAGACTTCCGGTGCACGGTTCAGTCAAGTTGGAATACTGGTAACCTTCTCGAGACCATTGAATACCAAGAGGATCAGCCTGAAGCACCAGAATACGACGCCGAGGGCACTGTCTGCGCTCAGTGGTGGCTATTTGGGAAACGTGATGGGATCACAGCCGATTTTGTACGCCCATCGGGATCCTAGTGCGTCGTCGTTCTATGTTTACGATAGGGTAAGTCTGGGTATTGAGATAGGTCATGGGAAATGCCTATTAATTTAAAATTCTACACAGCAAAAATCATCACGCAATCGAGGGACACAGCCGAAAGTTTGCGTCGCCACGGTCAACGTTTACGATGTATCGAAAATTTTATACGTAAGTAAAGAACTGGCCGAGAATTACATCGTCAATACAACGAATGTGGCAGGTAATTGAGTTGAGGTAATTTTCTTACGCCGCATTGGCGATACAATTTCCCACAATCCACTACGCAGAAATGTGCCGCCACAACAAGGAAGTTGCCGAAAAGTACGGCCGACCGGATCTGGTGCAGTGTTGGTCTCTGGCCGAAATGATCGCTCAACCCAACACCGATTTCGATGCGGACGACGACATGCTGTGCTCGCAGAATCCTTTCGCTAAGAGTCTACTCGAATCGCTGTAAGTAATCGTAACCATAGATGAACACTACTCACATTGATAGCTTTTATCCACACTAGAATAAACCACTTTGCCAAAATCTACGACATCCAAACGGCAGCGATGTTGTGCTGCGCATTCGGACGGCACTGTCCATCGCTGTACGAACTTTCTCGTAGTTCCAGTTCCAGCAGTAAATCCGTCAATCAGAGCGTAAGTACTTGTCTGGGGCTTGTTGCCAATCGGTGTAGTGATGTTACAGTAGTACGTGTTGTTTTATTGGCTTTTGGTAGCTAGCTTTGAGTAGAAGTTCCCGTTGGTAATGTTCTTATCTCATGGTACATATGGTATACTTTGGTGGTTTTACTTAGAATAATCTGTTTAAAATGGGGGTTCGCTGAATTAGTGCAGAGAGTGCAAACAATTCTCATCAATAAGTAGTTCGTTGACACCCAAAAATGGATAATAATCACGAAGCGAAAGCTATGGAATTCTGTGCTACAAGTAAAACTATTTGTTCTTTAACGGTTAAGAGTTTATTTAAACGTCTGCTTGGAACAAAGGCTTGTAACTGAATGATTGATTTTTCTTTCTTCGCTGACAACTGTAGCGCAATCGAGAGCATGGCACTTGGTTGCGCAGCTGAAGGAAGCATCGCCCCCTTTAGTTCAGTGCCGGATGTTTTCCTCCAATCTCCTGGGTGGTCTGGAACATCTAGCTGGTAGAGGTGTAACGGAAACATAGTGCTGAAGAACTGCTACTGGTGTTAAGGCAAGAAGAGTAGGTGTAGTCATACGCAATGTATCGTTTTGACTATCTTCTTATACATCGACAGCGTTAGAACTGACATTGGAGTTTGGTTCTGAATACTGTTATGTCTTAAACTGTTATGTCTTTCAAATGTATCAATACTCACAAACACACGAGGTTCTTCTTTTGGTATTTATTAGTCAACGGTTCGGACATCAAAGAGCTTACAATAGGGTGCTTAGAGTTTATATACATACTTGACCGGATGTTCATTCTTGTTCTCCTGAGAACTACCAACTGTTTATATAAATTGTGTTCACTTACAATACTTCAATATAATCTACATGAAATGGTATTTTGTCAAGATACAATAGGGTATGTTATATTACAAATACGGAGTTGGTAATCCAAAATCAGCTATTAGAGTTTCCAACGGTAATTGGATTTCAGACTGCCGCTTCTTGTCATCGTACCCAGGTCGTAAATAATTTGCGTGAGCACGAATGAGCTTTCTTCGACCCGACGCTTGATCCAGAAGAACATTGAAATGCACCGTACCAATGGCTTCAATTATCGTTCCAGGTTGCCATTTCCAATTTCCTGAATTGCTGTGAACCTTCGTGCAGACAAGCATGCCGGCCTTAAAAGTTGTTACTGCAGGTTGTGGTGGTGTAGCTTTTGCTAGTCGGGATAGCTCGAGAGTGCGGTCTTTATCGGATGACCAAACATCACTTCTGCTGGAGATTATCTTTACAAAATGGTACTTGGTGTTGAACGATACAATTGGAGAAATGTCTACAGAGCTTAAGTTGGTGGTACGCCTTCCCCGGCTGTGATTTTCTGAACTGAATGCTTGAGTGTGTCCACAACCCATTCCGCTTGTGGATGGTAAGGAGCGGTACGAATGTGAATGACACCAGAATACCTACTCACAAAACTGTTGGAACATGCTACTGCAAAATTGGCTACAAATCCGATATCTTGCAAACGTTTTTCTCAAGAATCCAATCGTTCAAGACGTGCTTCCATTTATTAACGTCTTTTTAAACAAACCACCTTGAGAAGGTGGAAATAGTTCATTCAGGACGGCCAAGCCGTAACCAGACCGAGCCGGTTAGCATCCCCAGGTAGCGATAATCACAGGCTACTTAGGCTGTGTTCCATTTGGAAAATTTTCACTTAGATTTGACACTTCGAAAATAAATTAAGATGTTCGAAAATCCCTCTGTTGTTGATCGGCCGATTTTCGAGAAAGCGTCTGTCAAAATTTATTCCTTGTCTATCAGAAATAAGTCTGCTGGAATAGCACACGGTAAGAAAAAAGTACCCAACGGCCAGTTCACTTTTACCTACTTTTGACTAGTTTGTCTCCTTTTCTCCTTCTAATGTTGTCAAAAACGGAGGAGCAAAACTACCCAACAAGGGTAGTAAAGTGTGGGAACCCAACGTTGGGTATAATCATATTTACCTACTGTTGGGTACAACTAACTTACTTTTGGTTAAAAAGCCAGTGGAAAATTCCATACGAACTGCAGACAAGTAAATGAAAATTACTTTGACCCGCTTTACCTACTTTTGGCTTCCTGCACTATAGTGCCGAGATGAGTGAAAAGAACTTAATTTTGGGTACTTTTTTCTAACCGTGCAGGTTTATTTGAAAATTTTCCATCTGTCAAATTTAAGTAAAAATTCACCAAATGGAACACAGCCTTAGAGAGTTGGCTATAACCTTATTGCTCTGTCATCGTCATCACGGGCACTACCGATGTATTGACAGTAGTGCTTTGGTGACAACGATGATCCCCCGTTCTTGTTCGCATTACTGACGGCAAATATCACCGCCAGCAATCCCACCGGGCACCGCGTGGAAGTAAGAATCGGAGTTCAGGTGCACAGAGGTCGCAAATCGCCAGTCAGGGCAGAACCCAACAACCATTGATAGGCGTTCTTATGCACCTGCTTTACCCGGCGTTCCAGACGTGGTTGTTGAGCAGGTTTGGAAGATTTTTGTCCATTTACTGTAGCAGGGTGGCCAGTCATTTTTCATATAAGTTCCCGGATTTCTCGCTTAAATCTCAGAAATTTCCCAGCTGTTACTAATTGTATTTGTAATTGTTCAGTGCATAGGCTGTGCCTTCCGCTAAGAAGGCTTATCTAGGGACCAACCCCCTAGTCTATACACCTACTGTCCTTCCCGTTGCACTCGTCAGCTCGTGCGATACTCTAGACACACATGGGTGGTCGTATCCGGGTCCTCCCCTGGGTAGGCTCGTGTCCGTCCAGGTTCTGGTACATTAACTTATCTATATGCATGGTAATTATACTTTTAAAACTCACCTTTTGATTATAATGTCGAAAATGCTGAAACTAAATAAAGGTTAGCGATCCATATAAGGTGTGTGCTGGGAAGGAGTAGTAATTGAAGAAAATGAGGTTCAGATGTGAAGTATAGGTAATTCTAAAATAGGTAAATCAATTAATCATTAGCTGCTAACAGTTACTAATAAATGGGTACGATAAATCACTCATCAATGAGTATTGCCACTCCCACTGAAAAATGGGCAAAACCTTAATCATAAATGGATATTCGATTCCTACCGTGTATTTAAAGTAAAGTTAGGATCTTATCAAGCAAGCACACACCTTTTACGATTCTTATCCTACTTACGGTTTCCTGCACATACGACTTTTCCTAGATACAAGCCTCGTCCAGTATACATTGGCTGTCTCCAACCGGCATGATCCTTTCTGTCTGCTTCCTCTTGCCGGTGCAAGTTTAATTCTTCTTTTCTTGTTCGAATTTTCTCGCTACTTTTCTCGTATTGAACTTCTGGTCGTGTTCCCATTTGTCCTCAGGCAGTTAATATTAGTACATGATAGAAAGAAAGAAAGAAATAGAACAAGTTAAGTGTGAGCCGCATGCATTGGTTACTTATTTGGGTCATGGTGTTGTCTTCCCTATTTATTTGCCTCTATTCGCTCTCATATCGCAACGTTTAACTCACCCCCTTCCCTATTATGGTCGGAAAAGAGAACCCATATTTAGTAATCTATCGCGAACTGCGATGCAGAAGATATTAATAGCAAACTAATCTGGAACTGGTCTAAGACATATAACCCAGTGAGTATTGACACATCACACTGTTGTGAATGAGCACGGACGCGAGATTTACTAGAGTATTAAATGCAAAACGCAAATTCAAAATAAAACTTGACAAGACATCGTCAATCCCCTTATTTTTGGGCAGGGTCTGACGATGTAAATCTGATTTTGATCAGTGAACGGGTCCCATATGGTACATTTTCTCACTATGAACCTGTCATTTCCAGCCTATCTGAACTATTTAATAAATGGAAACCATAACATGGGTTACGCTTCCCCTAAGCGGGCCCTCCGCATTCTATCTCTGTCTTATCTCAAATGCCAATAGTTTGAATGTATCAATATATACATTGGAAATGACGTTCAATCAAATAAACCCATACCCCACTCACTTGGCCAGGCTTCAGAATCGTCCAGTGGGCAGTGCGCTCTACACTCCAAGTTCCCTTTCTTTCATATTCACCCCAAATTTGATATTTTACCCCTTTGAGTGTTGATTAATCACAATGAAACATTGTGACAGAGCACGGACTTGAGGTTACTAGAGTATTAAATCCTATTTAGGATTATATCTGAAAATCCAAATCTGGCCCACGCACACCCAGAAATTTCCCAGCTGTTACTAATCAGCAAAAAACGAAAGTAAGGGTTGAAATGATACCATAGATAGGGTAAATGACGGCTTCGGCAATACCTTATTCTATTATCGTCAGGGGGTAAACAAAGTCCTTGATAGGTCTATTTTGGCATGTGGATACATTGTTTCAGAGCATGTACTGGCCAAATTTGAGCGCTCTAGGACTTTGTTTACCCCCTGACGATAATAGGGTAAGGTATTGCCGAAGCCGACATTTCCCCTATTTCGAATCATTTTGATTTTTTTTTAAGCTCGATTCCGCTTAGGGGCTGCTCATAAACTACGTAGACAGTTTAGGAGGGGTTGACAATTATCCACGGCTAATACAAATTTTAAAAAATTGTATGGACAATTGTCTACGCAGGGGGAGGGGGGTCAAGCATCACAAAAACCTGTCTACCTAGTAAATGAACAGCCCCTTATGATTTCAAATCACCAGATTTAACAAATTAACAGAATTATATGGTATCGGGCTATCAGGCGGAATGGGAATTAAATTAAGAAATTGTTTTATAAATCATGAACTTCATACGAAGATCTCGGAGCATGAAAATGTTTTAACACACCGTGATATTTACTAAAGGAAATCTTTAAAAAATAATAAACGCTATGACATCAACGAACGCGGCTGCGATCGAACTCAACGACACGTACCAAAAAATAATTGAGGAGATCAAGAATGAGATAAAAGATAGCCTAATTGCCGAAATTAGGCAGGAGATC